TTTTAAAATAAAGTTTTATTAGAATATAGTCTCTTCCTTTCCTGTACATACTGTCCATGGCTCTTTCATGCTACAACAGCAGAGTAGTCGTGACAGAGACCAAATGACCTGCAAAGCCTTAAATGTTTATCATTTGGTCCTATTGTGAGTTATAGGATAAAGGGAATGGACACAGGGAAGAATGAAAAATTGGAGCTATTTCTGCAATCTACCAGTGGAATGTAATTTTATTATTAAATATGTTTAAGAATTGTTAATGGCTTAGAGAAGGCTAATAAGATAATGTAAAAGAAAAAAGAAGGTACAAAAATATACAGACAGTATGATCCCATCTCTACACAATCATGTTTAATTACATACATTACACACAAATAGCTCATATACATATTTATTTTCACATATATTTTTAAAGGCAAGCCAAAGAAAATATTTTCAAAACACATATCTGATAAAGGACCTATGTCCAGAGTATACAAAGAACTCTTAAAACTCAACAATAAGAATATAATCAACACCAGTTGCATGTTATACACTTAAGTTAAGGGTAAATCCTAAGAGTTCTCATCACAAGGAAACTTCTTTTTTCTTTTTCAATTTAATTTTGTATCTATTTGAGATGATGGATGTTCACTAAATTTACTGTGATAATCATTTTTTTCATGATGTATGTAAGTCATATCGTTATACTGTATACCCTGAACTCATAAAGTGTTGTATGTCAATTAGATATCAATAAAACAGGAAGGGAAAAAAACAACTCAATAAGAAAACCATATAATTTAAAAATGGGCCAAAGATCTGAACAGATACTTCATTATAGAAGATATACAGGTAGCAAATAAGCACAGGAGAAGATGCTAATCATCATTTATCATCAGGAAACTGCAAATTAAGACAACAGTGAAATACCAGTGTACACCTATTAGAATGGCTAAAATAAAAAAACCCCAAAAAACTAATAATACCAAGTACTGTCAAGGACACAAAGCAACAGAAACTCTTACACATTGCTGGTGGGAACAGCACAGCCACTTTGGAAGCCAGTCTCTTCCAAAGTTAAATGTAGTGTTATCATAAAAGCCGGCAATCATGCTTTTAGGTATTTATTCAGTTGATCTGAAAACTTTTATCCACACAAAACCCTGCATATGGAAGTTTATAGTAGATTTACTCATAATCACCAAAAGCTGGAAGTAATCAAGGTATCTTTTGATAGGTGACAGGATAAAGAAAGTATGGCACATCTACACTATGGAATATTGTTCAGCAATAAAAATAAATGCACTAACAAGCCACAAAAGACAGGGTAACGGTAAAGGCATATCACTAAATGAAAGAAGCCAGTATGAAAGACTATGTATTATATGATTCCAATTATATGACCCTCTGGGAAAAGGTAAACTATAGAGACAGTGAAATGATCAGTGGTTGCCAAAGGTATGGGGTTCAGAATGAACAGGTGAAGTACAGGGGACTTTGAGGGCAGTAAAACTATTCTGTATGATACTGTAATGGTGGACTCATACAAGACATTATGCATTTGTCAAAACCCATATAACTTTACAGCACAAAGAATGAACCTTAATGTATGCAACTTTTAAAAAATCATTTACAAGGTCAGGGGATTAAATGCAGAATGTGACAACAGAGTCTAACTAGGACAAATATATGAAAACAACTTCACTGAAGGAGGTGGGAGGAGTTATTTAGGTCACTAAATAACTGAAAATGAGTCCAATCTGTAAAACTCAAGGCAAAAGGAACCGTGAACACGCACTTACTGCAATAATGTTTTTCACAGAGCATAAGTTTAACAATTTTGATACCACTATAAATGTAGAGTGGAATTAAATAATGAAGTAAATGGATGGCAGGCTACGGGGACCAGGTTTTTTTTTAATATCCATACAATTCAATATTATTCAAAATAAAAAGTACTCTTGACATATACCATACTTAGACGAATCTCAAGTGCACCATGCTAAGTGAATAAAACCAGACTCAGCTACATACTGTATGGTTTCATTTACATACTTTGGAAAAAGCAAACCATAAGATTAGAGAAAAGATAAGAAGGTGATGGGGGTTAAGGATGAGTGAAAGGTTTGAAAACAAAGAGGTAGCAAAGGGAATTTAGGGAGGTTGGGGGGGATAAGAGAATTTTCTTGTATTTTGATTATAGTGATAATTACATGAATCTATACATGTTAAAATTCAAAGAACTGTAAATCAAAGCATAAACTTGACCATCTATAAATTAATGATTTCAAAAGAAAAATCAAGTTAAAATAAAAGCTGCAAAGGATTAAATCCTTTAATTCCTTCAAAGAGAAAACCAACAAATAACCCAAGAAAGTTTGGGAACATCTAGACTAACCGAAAGCACATGTTCCCTAATGCAGTGCATTGAGAATTCAGCATTATGTCTGGGGTAGTCCTGCTACTAAAAGGGCTTAACCTAAATTTAATCATGAGAAAACTTCAGAGACGCTTAAACTGAGGTCAATCTATAAAACAACTGATTTGGACGCTTCAAAAATGTCAATTACATTAAAAAAAAAAACAAAAAACAAAAAAAAAAACCTCAGGAACTGGTCCAGATGAAAGAAGTCTAAACAGATATGAGAACCCAATGCAACACATAATCCTAGATATTTATTTTTTTTCTATAAAGGACTTTATAGTTGGAACAACTGACAAAAATCTCAATTTGGTCCACAATTAAGTAACAGTATTGTATCAATGTTTTCTTATTTTGATCATTGTACTGTGATTATTTAAGAAAATTCCTGATTTGAAAGGGAAAAAGCAAATATTTAGGGAGTTACTCTTAAATGGTTCCGGAAAAAAAATGAGAAGAAAAGCAGTAAATGAGGTTAAGTATTCATATTTGGCATATGTGAGTGAAAGGTATCCAGGAATTCTCTGTACTATTCTGCAACTTTTGTCTGAAATGACATCAAAATTTTAAATAAATTATTTTTAAAAGTAAACATCCTTTGGGCTAAAAATAACAGATCAAGTTATCTAAAGGATGGGAATCAACATGAACATATTTAATAAATTAAGAGTCATGGGAAAACTCTTGGCACTTACTCAGTACTGACCAGAGAAGTGTGTTTCAGCATATTGCCTGGAATTCTGGGTTCTTGCTTAAATGAACAGGATCTTAAGAAAGGAATTAGCTCAATGCTGTTAAACATCTGAACTATACAAGCAACTCTCTCCCCTCAACTATCTCCTTGCTCATCAGTGACCTTAACTTATAAAACAGCAGCTTCACGAAGATCTAGCTACAAAAAATAATGAATCATACTGACTTAGAAATTATTCATATTTATAAATCAGGTTCCTGTGATTTTGATTAATTCCCAAATTGTATCAACTCTGGGACATCAACGAATTTATTTTGGGACCCATAAACCTGGGAGCTACACTCTAAAATGGTGGTTTTATCAAGGCTCTGTAACTGTGCACACTCTTGGCTAACAGCTTTTAACTATATTCCCTCACCTTGGCACAGCCTTCTTTTAACAGGTTTCATTACTCACAAAGACACATCATCAAAATGAGTACGACTAAATATGGTTAGTGGGAAACTGTATTTTTCAGTGGGAAAATCATATGACAAGTACTTTAAGATTAGTTCTACTTCAAAAAACTGCATGAGATATGACACTGATGTAACCACTTCAAGGACACAAAAATGGGGAGAACATTTTTATTTTCATGCTTTTTAAACTCTTCACGTGGAAGAGGTAAACACATACCACATATAAAAACTTTAAATATGAAGACAGAAAAGGAGCCACCTCAGAAAGCATATAGGGTTTTATTCAGAACTTCTCAATTAGGGAGTCGAATCTTATGAAGGGAAGTGGTCCCATTCAGCACTTACTCAATTTCCTTATTTAGTGGTGTATACAGAATTTATGAATTAGCTCTTAGTTCTGGCATGCTTAGTAAGTCCAATCTTGCTTATAGGAATAGGATCTTAATACTTCATTTTCAGAACACTTTAAAACCGAAGCCAAGGCTTCTCCTTCAAGGATGTGGAAGGCATTCCTCATTCATATCTGATTTGCAGTTTTATAAAGCATGAAGATCATTTCTGTTACTTCTTCATCTATCTGCTGGATTCTAATATTCTTTTTGATGATGATACATTCATTCAATGATAGAAACTTACAGAAAAAGAATTCCTTCTCAATTTGTAAATCAAAATTTTAAAAGCAAAACCTCTGAAGTGATAGGAAGACATTTTTATGACATAAGCAGCTACTGCACTAAGCTGCTGGCACAGATCAAAACAACAAAGGTATAAACTGCTTTTTAACCTTTAAATAGTCTACGTTTGCTACAAATCCACAAATATTTTAAATATACTTTCTTCTGCATTAAAAATTAAGATAACCCCTAGCTTTCAAAGAAGTAAATATTGTGAATTGAAAAAGATTAACTTTCCTATTGAATGTCCAATGATAAACTGAACTCCAACTTCCCTATTCCAAGGACATAAAAATGATCTAAAGTGGATCAAAGTGCGTGGCAAGTTCATATTAAAAATTATTTCTCATATACTCTTTTACTAAAGCAATTAATATAAAAAGAATGTAAAAGCTCGTTATATGCTTGAGGATTTAGGTAACCTCCAAGGAATCACAACTTGTCAGCTATTAAACCCAGAGTTATAGTATGTGAAAATACTATTGTCTCATAAAAAAGCAAGCCCATAAAACTCCATACATAAAATGGCCTAAATATCAGCAATAATTACATTCTCCATAATCTTTTATCTAAAGCTTCAAAGCCATCAATCTTTTTTCAGTCTTCAAGTGAGCAATCAAAATAGTCATATTTAGTCAGGTTTAAAACTAAATTTCTCCTTCTCAATATGAAGGCATAGACAGAAAAACAAAAAGTTATTCCATCTAACATCCTGAGCCTAAGGATGTGGAAACCATCTACAACATGATCTCATTATGTCATCATTGATTCACCTTCTTCACCAGTAGCATCCTGGGAAATGTGAAGGTCTTCAAGCATCTCCGCCAGACTAATACGAGGTGCTCCTTCATCATCTGTGTCACTTTCCACAGGAATGGTTGAATCTAAGGAAAAATACAAAGAGGATTTCAAATAAATATAAATAAGGAAATAGGCAAATACTTACCACCATCATCATTGATTATTTAATCATATTATATCCACAGCTCTTATATCATATCTAGAACAGGCATTTAAATATGCATTGAATGACTGAACTTCCATAAATGTATTATGAGTAACTATCTACTAGTAAACGGATCAGCAAATTTGAGAGCTCATGCTAGGATGCAAATGATTTCTAATGTGGTATAGTAAACAACATTTTAATAAGTATTACTGTTCAAGTTTTGGGGGGTTATTTGGGGGAAGAGGGAGTAAATGTTTAGTTGTTTTAAAAACATGTAATAGGTCATTTATGGAATCAAAGTTTAAGATACCAAAATACTCACACTGGTATAATATATCTATATACAGAAGACACAACTTAAACACTCCTAAAACACCAACCTCTGTAAATGTTTACATTTTTTCTAATTGCCTCATCTTCTTCAAGATCTTCAAGGAAATCTTGGTATTGCCTAAGAAGGATAAAGAAACATTCAAATATTTCATCTTTACCAAGAAAGTATGAAATTATGTTTTCTTTATTTTCAGCACTGTAAGATAAATGTGTTCCAAGTATTAAAATCCTTAAAATAATAACTGAAGGTCAGATATGGATGTCAATACTCTGACAGGTTTTTAAAAAATCTTTTCTTTCAAAATTACATGATAAAAAAAATACACACTGAATATAAGGTGACATTAAATACACAACAATGAGAAGACCCCTTCAAACTTCATCCTCCAATGCAAAAACTTTATGGCCAAGTTGAAATACACACTTTAAGACTATAAATGAAATAGTAAATATATACTTATAATATCTAATTAAGTTAACATGATATACTTACACATACTTATTTTAAATTATACTATGAGATTATATTTTAGAAACACTGCTATTTTCCACTCACATTTCATGACACAATTTTATCCTAACAGTGTCTTCACCATCATTAAGGCCACTTTTCCAGTCATCCAATACACTTCTCTAGAACACAGTATCTTCATTTCTCATTAAGTTATTTGACAAACGGCATATCTCCTATCAATGAGCTGTTTTCTTTTTATACCATCTGAAGTACTCATTTGCTATTTGTGATATCCACAAGGTGCTCATTATATTTTAACTTTTCAAATGAATCGTCTACAATCATAACTCAGCCAATAATAACTAAAACTGTGTTAAATGTCATTATGTCCGCTTATACCGATCCAAACAACACATTGATAAGAATACAAAATTAATACTGACTACAAGGACCAATTGTGTGACAACTATTTCTTTACGATATAAAAACCATAAAGATTTATCACAAGGATTTCCTTTGAGAAAACATATAAAGTTTAAAGAAAAGTGGAACCTTTCATTATCTGCATCCATGTTTTCTCTATCTTTTGCAAGCTCTTTCAGTTTCCAGTTTCGACGACGTTGACGTTTGGTACGGTCATAGCTCTTCTTGATTAGTACCTAAAAGTAATAGAAATATTTGCAAATATTTCTACGAAATATTTGTATTTGTACAAAAAAAGGGAACTAGGTAACAGTACCTCAAAATCCAATAAAATAAAAAAATGAAAGGTTATTTTTTCACTTCCAGGAAGTCACCAAACTGATGATAGTGGTTGTACCTCATACCTGACAGTAGTCAGGGAAAAGAGTAGGGCTCAAGAAGCAGTGTCAAGAGACCATTTAACATTTTTCTTAACATACTTAGTATTTTATGAGAATGCATTTAACCCTTATTTGTATAATTATTAAAATTATTAATAAATTGTATAATTATTAAAATGAAAACTGAAATCTTCCAATGATTGAAAATTAAAATATTTTACACCAAAAACTTCATGTTTTTGGTGACTGTTTTTTTTCTTTATACCAAAGTATAGTAGCTTTCAGCTATCACTCACATAAATCATTCTGAAACATTATCACAGGCAGACATCTTTTCTCCCTTTCACTCCTAATAAGCACTTATAGAACTATACATATTTCTCACAACTGTATGTCCTACAACAGTTTAATAAAGTGTGGACTGCTTAAATGAAAATAATTTTACAATACAAAATTTTGTAAGACCATCTTGATCTTCTCTTACAACTTTGTGAGAAATACCTATTTAGACTTACCTAAACCATGCTTCTATTTACTAATTTATTAATTAATAGAAGTACAACTGGGTGGTAAGGAGGAGAGCCTTTCTTATGCCATGACTTTATTTCTGTTATTTTTGACCGCAGCTAAAGCAATCAATGTTTATTTTAAAAGAATAAGCAAGCAGGAGATACAGTCTTTTTCACACTTCACATTCACTGTTGCTCATGATTCGTATAAACTCATGTTAGAATTTAACAGATTTTTTTTCAAAAGTAACATTTTTTTCTCTAAGACTTGATACTGTGAGATTATTTTCAACTACAATTAAATTTCAAACCTGAAAAATGGTTTTAACTCTAAATGCCTTAACTAAACAATACATAATATACTGAGCCTAAAAGAATGAACAGCAATAAATTCTAAAGGTCACCATTTTTAGTTGCAAATTTATTTTTGCTCTACAGATATCATCAAACATTTTGACAGAATGAAAATCTGATTTTAAGAGCAAGCAAAACACTCAATAAATCCTGAATTTTACCTACCAAGAATAATTATTTTAAAGGAAGGTTTTGCTATTACACTTTAACTGCAATATCAAAAGGAATCTCTACATTGATTTATTTCCAAAAATGTGAATTTATGCATCTTACCCATAAGAGTTACATCAATCCTTTGTTAACACAGGAAATAAGGGGAAAAATCTAAAGCCTTACCACATCTGGGATTCTATCTGATTTCATTTTATTGACATGCTCATCATTTAAGTTACAGTTGGCCAAATCAAACCTAAAATGAAAACAATAAGACACTTAATTACAAAAACATTTATTCTTTCCGTGTAACTTTTTATTTCATAGATGATCACCTAAAAGTTCCTCCTAAGATCAAACATTTAATATGCTTTCTCACTTTAAAAGTTTTGCAGTGTACTACACAGTGAACATGTTTCTACAGATTCCAGTAAATAAAATAATGTACTCTATCTCTGAGTTTCACATGTCATCCATTATTGTCCACCTCACCATATACTTGTAAAAGAAGCAAAACAATTATATTCGGTCTAACATTAGGATTCAGTGAGATGGTCCCATTTAGATTATAAAAAACAAAAACGGAACACCTTTCATTGTCTAGTAAAAGGAACTGAAACCCTAAGAGCAAAAGTAATGTTTAACGCATGCTTGTAAATTCTGCATCAGAATGGACTGTCCTATACCTGTAAAGAGCCCTTACACATACAGCTGCCATATTTTAAAAGGGAAGTATTTTAACAGCAGCATATGCATAATAAAAAACTACCTGCTTCCTCCAAAAGGCTATAAATATAATCTAATCATATAACTTCAGGGTTCAATTTCTCAAAATCTTGTAACAAATGACTCTTTAAGATGATGGCCAAAATGGAATAACTATGGGCTTCTATCCTCTATCCAATAAATAGTTTAATTTTGTTATCAAAAATAAAATGAGCTAAAAGGTTCCTAAGAACTCTTAAATTCTTTTTAGAATAAACAACTCTAGTATTTTAGATCGCTCCACTGGCTCCCAGAGAAAATCTGCAGTGCTAACTGACAGTTTAAAATACTGCAAGATAATACAAACCCCAACACCAGGTCTCCAGGATTTAGCAGATGTCCCAAATGAGTGCGACAAAAATACTGTTTATCTGTATTCATTTCAGATGTTTTCTGTACCCAGACTTCTCCGAGGGTATGCTTAACAGGAAAGAAAATGTACTCTTCAATAATCTAAGCATAACTTAAAAAGCACCTCATAGAAAAGTTAAATATAATGTTGATTTTGGTTTTCTGATTTTCATTTTAAAGACAGAAATTGTATTATTTTCCAGACTTCTGACACACTGTCAAAGTTAACAAATTACAGAATTATGAGTACAGAAAAAGATTCATAAGTAACTCATAAGATATTTTTATTAAGATTTTATTCAAGGCTTTTATAAGACATTAAGATTGTCACCTAAAAACAGACACATATGTAGAATTCTCAAAAGATATGTTTCACAACGAGATGGGCCAATACAGACTGAGCAAAAAGAAAAACTTTTTTTAAACATAGGGGAATCTAAAATTCAGGTAACATTTTAAGCAACCCTTTGTTTTACATAAGTTTAAAAAAACAGGACTCACAGAAAATAATCTAGCAATCCCAGTGGCACCACTACCACAAGAGAACCCAAATCTTTAAATCTATTTTTTGAATGTCTAGTATTTTGAGGTTTAACTTTTTTCTTCTAAACTATTTGTCATGGAAATAACATCCCAAATTTGAACTTTTAAA